GTAGCACCATTGGAATGTATGTTATGTAGCACTATTGGAATGTATGTTACGTAGCACTATTGGAATGTATGTTACGTAGCACTATTGGAATGTATGTTACGTAGCACTAATAGTGCTATGTAACATACATTCCAATAGAATGTATGTTATGTAGCACTATTGAATGTATGTTACATAGCACCATTGGAATGTATGTTACATAGCACTATTGGAATGTATGTTACGTAGCACTATTGAATGTATGTTACATAGCACTATTGAATGTATGTTACGTAGCACTATTGGAATGTATGTTACGTAGTACTATTGGAATATATGTTACGTAGCACTAGTGGAATATATGTTACGTAGCACTATTGGAATGTATGTTACGTAGCACTATTGGAATGTATTTTACTTAGTACTATTGGAATCTATGTTACATAGTACTATTGGAATCTATGTTACATAGCACTATTGGAATGTATGTTACATAGCACTATTGGAATGTATGTTACGTAGCACTATTGGAATGTATGTTACGTAGCACTATTGGAATGTATGTTACGTAGCACCATTGGAATGTATGTTACATAGCACCATTGGAATGTATGTTACATAGCACTATTGGAATGTATGTTACGTAGTACTATTGGAATGTAAGTTACGTAGCACTATTGGAATGTAAGTTACGTAGCACTATTGGAATGTATTTTACATAGTACTATTGGAATCTATGTTACATAGCACTATTGGAATGTATGTTACATAGCACTATTGGAATGTATGTTACGTTGCACTATTGGAATGTATGTTACATAGCACTTAAGTTTAGCACTTCAATTTTTTGACAGTTATTGGCTTTAACCTCTGTCCGTTTACACAGCCGAAAACTAGAGTTTTCTCAAGGCTCCTCTAGGTTGGTGCAGTGAATGTGGTTTCAAACAGTAAATAAATATTACATAAATACCAAGTGAACTAAACATTTTGAAATCTAATTGAAAGAAATATATTTAAGCTTAGAAGTTGGTAAAAAAATTGAGTAGTACTTTTTTACTATTTGGCCACTTAGAGACACAACAGAAATGAAAGTTTGAAATATTTTAAGTTTGTTGTTAAGAAATAAACTAAATAAGCAATATATAGAGTTAAAATGCAATACTGCAGTGTTTTTAATTAAAAACTGTTGAAATATAATTTCAGTTGTAATGTTTTGAATTATATTTTCAAAGTTGATTTGCAAGTGTGCACTCTCAGTTATCCAAACATCCACTGGTTAGGAAAGAGTTAATATTTGGTGTTTACCAAAGTCTGTGTCGTTTCAGTTCTAGCATAAAGCTATTTCTTTCAGAGAATATTAAGATGTGAAATCAGAAGAATTTATATTATTTTTTCCAATTGTTCAATTCAATCATCAGATTTTAAATGGAAACTACCAATATACTTTTGGAGATTTTGGAGGCATTATTGTAGCTGTTCAACTGTACAATAGAGGTGGAGAAACCAACTGGCTCCTGTAAGTTAATTGATGTTATTATTGTGTGTAATATCTTCCTCATCTTTTTTTCTAATTAGATTCACAAAAGCTTGCAATTATCAAAATATTTACCTGAAATTAGATTTGTTTGCAAAAATGGGTCCAGATAAGTTGAATTAAATTTAAAATGTTGGTGTATCATAGGCTTATGAAGCTTCATGAACTATTTACGTACTGATTTTTGAAGCTTCAAATAAATTATTTTCATAAAGTTTTTAATTTGTGTTTCAGATCAATTACTGGTCATGAATTACATTTTTAACTGATGCTGTATGTTTCATATTTAAAGCTTAAGGAATACTTTCAAAAGTGAACATGCGTTTTACCTATAGATACTCTTTGGACATGGGAGAAACATGGACAAGGGCTAACTTTACTGAACCCGAAAACAGCATCCGGGTCTATGGCTTGATGACAGAGCCAGGAGAGAAAACAACTGTCTTCACAATTTTTGGCTCCTTGCCTAACCATCATCAGTGGCTTTTAGTAAAAGTTGATCTACAAAATGTGTTTTGTAAGTTTTGCTATTACAAATATATTGTTTCATATAAAAATATTACTTTAGATATTAAGTTAAAGATAGGCTCAGAAGTTTCTAGGAACAATTACTGTAAACTTGGCTAGCTAATCTGATAATATATAATATAATAGTGTTATACAAAAGCTTTTGATTCTGGTTAATTTATATAACAGTGTTATGACAGAAAATGTAATTAATCACCAACACTGTTATATAGTATGTATCTTCATTTGAATAAAGATCAGATGAATTACTTTATTTGTAGCTTGAATTTTCCACATAGTTTCATACTTTAAATCAATGTGGACATGTTAAAAGAATCATTTAGGTTATTTAAAAATATTGTCATAAAACGTGTAGGACAAGAATTATGTAGTTATAGACTACATTGCCACAAATAATTATATGCAAGGAATACCTATAGAGGATGGCCAGTTTCTCTATAAAATTTAAATTTACATCTCCCTGGTGGCTCAGTTTTGATTCTTGTGGTGGGCATGGTATAAAAACACCAATGAGTAACTATGTGCTTAATAACAAATACAGTAAATTTATAAATTTTGGACTTTTTAACACCAAAAAATATATATACAAGTAAAATAAACATAGCTTGGGAACAGATGCTATTAAACTAGCTTCATAGGCATGATGACTACTGTCAGTTGTGTACCAGCTAAATAAACATAGCCTGGAAATAGATGCAGTTAAACTAGCTTCATAGGCTTGATGACTACTGTCAGTTGTGTACCAGCTGAATAAACATAGCCTGGAAATAGATGCAGTTAAATTAGCTTCATAGGCTTGATGACTACTGTCAGTTGAGTACCAGCTAAATAAACATAACTTGGAAATAGATCAACTGACAGTAGTCATCAAGCCTATGAAGCTAGTTTAACTGCATCTATTTCCAGGCTATGTTTATTTAGCTGGTGCTCAACTAACAGTAGTCATCAAGCCTATGAAGCTAATTTAACTGCAGTACCAGCTAAATAAACATAGCTTGGAAATAGATGCAGTTAAACTAGCTTCATAGGCATGATGACTACTGTCAGTTGTGTACCAGCTGAATAAGCATAGCCTGGAAATAGATGCAGTTAAATTAGTTTCATGGGCATGATGACTACTGTTAGTTGAGCACCAGCTAAATAAACAAAACCTGGAAATAGATGCAGTTAAACTAGCTTCATAGGCTTGATGACTACTGACAGTTGAGTACCAGCTAAATATACACAACTTGGGAACAGGTGCTGTTAAACTAGCTTCATAGGCTTAATGACTACTGTCAGTTTAGTACAGTTCCTTTCAGGCAAAAAACTGAAATTAAACTTAATATTTAACATTCTGAAAAAAGAGAGCATACAGGTTTAAGGCTGAATTTGATTAATTGATCAACTAATGTATTGTGTACAGCTCAAAGGTCTATTGAGCTAAACTTCATAAAGCTGGAGTAGCTAGAAATTATTGATCGTAAAATTTAAAGGATCTATTGATAGGAATTTGAATTTTTTAGTAAAACCAACATAAAACAATTAGAATTACTATTGTGTTATCAGAACAACAAAAAGAACATCAGTTAACATTAAATATTTGTTTGTGTACTATTATCTTTATGCAACATTTCAAGTTTTACAAGATTATAAGGACATTTGAATTTTTGAACATAAAGTGCAAAGTAATAGTATAATTTGATATTTTCACCCTTAGTATATACTTGCAAAAAAGAGGATTATAAAGAGTGGATTCCACATGCACCAAACACTCCTTGTCTTCTGGGGCGTAAGCAGGTGTTTGAGCGTCGCATTGCACATGTGCTTTGTTACAATGGAAGGGATTATGAAAGACCTGTTCGTGAAGAAGAGTGTCCATGTTCTAGAGAAGACTATGAGTGGTAAGTCAGTAAATATAGAGACACTGCAGCATTAAATGTTTGTCCATATTCTAAAGATAACTATGAATGATAAGCCAATATATGTAAGCACTTTGTAGCTGTATCTCTGTTGATTAACTTGGGCAATTTGGATATCCACTATTGGCTTGCTAGGCCAGTTGTAGTTTCACCAGAGCCCCATTAGCCAGCAGCATTTCAGGGTGATTTGGTTACTGTAATGGTGATGTGGGATAAACCCACACCATTCTTCACACGAGCCCAGTGATCCCCAACTTTGCTCTGTTTTCACATCCCAGGAAGGAGGTGAAATGAAAAAGTTAAAGCAAAAAAGGAAAAGAAGAAACTTTTTGAAATGTGGTTAAAATCCAAGGAAGAAGAGGATTATGTAAAGTGTAGAATTGTGAGAAGAAACAGTAAACGAGTCGTTAAAAAGTCTGTGAAGGAATCCTGGAGGAAGTGTGGTGAACATTTGAGTGATCTATGTAAGGACTCTCTCAGGGTAATTTACAAGAATGTGTGTGCTTGAGAAATGGGAGCTTAAACCTAATATCAGTCACCAATGAAAGAAATGGTAAATTACTGTATGATGAAACTGAAGACAAAGCAAGATGGGAAGGATACTTTCAATAACTCTTAAACCTAACAAGGACAGAGAATACATCAACTCTGTTCAAATCCAAACAGAAAGAACACAAGTTATCAATACTAGAGCAGGAAGTAAGACAGGCAATAAAGACCAGCCCCAAGAACAAAGCTTCAGGAATTGATGGAATAACTTCAGAAGAAAAAAGAGGATGCGAAGAGATAGGAGTCAAGTGGTTGACAAGAATACTTAATAAAGCAATAAAATAGAAAAGTTCCAGAAGACTGGGAAAGAGATGTGGTGTTACCAATTTGGAAAAAAGAACATTAGTAATAGAGATTGCAACACTTATAGAACCATTTCCTTCCTTAATCATAGATGTATGTTAAAATCCTAGAACAACGGATAAGATACAAGGTTGAACCATTCTTAAGTAAGGCACAGTTTGGTTTAGGAAAGGCAGAGGTTGCATCGATGCAATACTTGCACTAAGGCAACTCTGTGAGAAGGCTATTAAACACTAACAAGAATTGAATATTGTTTTTATAGATCAAGAAAAAGCTTTTGATTATATTAACAGAAATGAATTGTGGAAAGTACTTGAAGATTATGAGATGCAAAACCAGCTCTTGGACAGCATAAGAGCAATGTATGCAAACAGTAAAAATACTGTGAGAACCTTACTAGTTGGTTTCAAGTATCATCTGGGGTGAGACAAGGCTTTGTCTTATCCCCTCTTCTATTCATCAATTATATGGATCAGATTACCAAAAAAGCTTTAAATGAATTACTTTATAGTGATGACCAAAGTTTGATACATAAACCTGAAGAAGAGCTACAAAACCATGCAAATAGTTTCAACAACAGTTGCCAAAGGTACAATATGAAAATCAGCACAGGAAAAACAGAAACAATGTTAGTAAATTAAATGTCAGTAATAATAAAACCAAATTACAGCAGTTCGATGAATTCAAATACCTGTGAAGTCCTTTCACAAAAGATGGAAAAACAGAGAGAGTGAAATTGAAATAAGAATACAAAAAGTAACCTATGTAAACTACCACTTAACACCTTTACTGAATTATCCTGTTGACAATAAAGCATAAATTAATAAACACTGTTACCAAATTTGGACTTGTAATAAAAATTAAGAATGGAAAATTATCACTTGCAAAATGAAATGCTTATGGAAAACCGCTAACATAACTGGAAGAGACAAGGTAAGAAATGTAAAGGTCAGAGAAATAGTTGGAACAGCCCCAATCAGCAAATACATTGAAAAACAAAGAATTAAGCTAAGAATGGCAACTGTATCTCTCTGCAACACTTAATGGCAGGTGCGGAAGGAAAAAGTAAAGCACATTGTAGTTGTTAATGTTTGTCTATATTTCTAAAGAAGACTGAATGGTAAGTGAATAAATGTTGATACATTCTACCTTGAAATGTATAGCCATAATCATACCATTAAATATTGTTATGAATGTGATAGGTTAGGTAATGTATACCCTGACTGTACAGTTTTGTACTTAGTATGAAATTCTTTATTTACTTTAAATATTGTTTGTATTTTAAATTCAGTAATGTCTGTTAGATTATTTTTCATCTATTTAACTCTTTCAGCATGGGCTCGGTCCCTGGGACCGGCCTTGTAACTATTTTTGTGCTTGTTATAGTTTTCATGCTATAACTTTTAAATTAGTAAACAAATGTTAACGAAATTTGGCAGTTTATCAGTAAACATTACAATGCTTTCATACACAAAATATCTAATTTTTTATTAGTCTTATAAAGCAATGTTTCTTTCATGCCTTTTTTTTTACATCTTGCCTATCTATCATTCAAAGTAATTTTTATTTTAGGATTAAAAATACCTTATGCATCAGAAAATTTTGAAATTGTATATGCAAAATCTTTATAATGTCTGGAAAATTATCAAAAATTTCTTAAGAAAGAGCTTTATATTTTATCTGTTATTTTCAGTAATTAATCTCTGTATGGGTTTAGTAGATTTGACAGATCTCGCAACCACCATAAAAAATTAGGAAATAAACAAATTATGCCTCTTTCATTCTAGAATGAACACAGATTATAACACGAAAACATAAATGTTTAGACTAAATAGCTTAAAACTCATAAT